GGCTGGGGGTGCGAAGTTAGACCAAACAGATACAGAACATGCCCCCAAAAAGCTTGCAGGGGAATGCAGGGACAGACAAAAACATAACCACAAGCAGTCACCAGTGCTTCTCCTGAGGTATTTGGAGTATTTTAAAGCTTATGGCTGTCAACTTCATCAGGCCAGAAAGTCTCAGCAAAGCCCCTCCTCTCCCCAGTATTTATGTTTAGGTAAGTGTCACATTTGAAAGAGTAGAGGAAGACAAAAAATTTCCCGGGTAAAATCAACAGCAGAAAAATGAGACCTCTTGCAGGGTGGGGGGTGTGGGTTGCTGGGGGGAATAACTCCGGGGTTACCTTAGTCTTCAGGGAATACTGCCACCAGAGGGGTCAAAAGAAGAGATGGTGACCTCAACCCCATCCACCCACATGAGGATTGTAGGCTGCTGATTTTGGCCACAGAAATGGAATTTCCAAGACACATAGATGAGAAGTGTAAGAGGGTTGATTAGGCAGAAAGGAGACACTCAGACTGGGTCCTTCTCTGTGGCCTTTGGGGTGTCCTCAGTGTGGGTGATCTAGGATCTGTATTTCTACTGTTAGCTCACCCATCTGGCAGGCTGGGTTAGAGTGAGAACAGCCACCTGTGTTCGAGGCTGGGATCAGCAGGTCTTTGGGGGGAAGAGCAGTTGACAGGGGAGAAGTGGGAACTCAGCGCCCCACTGACAGGCTTAGAGCATCTCCAAGACCCTCAGGAGGTTTTGTGGAGTTTCCTAGAAGGGAAAAAGGTGTTGTAACCTCGAATAACTTTTGTGTCCCGTAACGGCAGTTTTTCTTATCAGAACAATTTTAAAATTCCGACTTTCCTCCTCTCCTTCCTTCCTGTCTTTATTTCTTCCATCCTGCTCAGTGCTGGGGACAGGCTGTATGAGCAAAGGCTACAACCCTGAGGACCAGCAGGTCTCTGGAGCAAGGCTCGGGAGACCAGAACCGGAGATAAATGGTCCTGCAGAATCATTGGCCTCTGCTATTGGGACTGCTACTGTCACGGGTGCCATTACACAAAGGCACGTGAGTGTGTGCCAATAAAACTTTATTTACAAATGCAGAGAGCAAGCCGCCTTTGTTTCTCAGAGCAGAGTGCAGATCCTTGCTGCAGAGGAATTCCCAGAGTTCCTCGCCAGTCCAGCTGTAGCATTAGGCCTACAGGGAATGACTCTCTGCTCAGAAAACAAGCAAATAATTGAACCTGGTCCTTGGCCTTTCAGAGTTTCCAACAGGCAAACAAAATGAAATGCACCCTAGAAATACAACGAACAGTGAAGGTCAGGCTCAGAGCAAAAATCCCCACCTCTAATATCGATAAATCCACCTAGGCCTCCCCTGCTTTTTGCTGAAGCACTGGGGGGAGCACCGGGGGGAATGCAGCAGGACTAAAAGCCCGAAGTACTCCAGCGGCTGCTGCTGCACTAGGGACAAAGAGTTCAGGGGAAGGAGCCGGGCGGGGCCTCATTAGCCACAGCAGCCGGAGCCCTGCTTTCTTTTTCCCTGGCCGGCCATCCTCTGCAGTCTGTGCTTTGCCAGCAGAAGGCAGCTCCTGGCTATCTCCTTCCTATTAAAAGAGCAGCACAGAAAGCCCGAAACTTCAGGCATCTCCGAGAAACCAAGAGGGTCAAAGCCAGTCTCCTTATTAGTTGTTATAGCAACACAGAAACTACTGCAGAGCCACTGCAAATGCCATGCAGGCGCCACTTCCCAAGCTGCGGTCACAGCACATCTTCCTGTCCTGTGTGCACCTCACGAGCAGTCAGGCACCCTCGTGCCTGTGTGCGGAGTCTGGAGAGCTCCTAGTGAGGGGAGCAACTCAGGGGTCCCCATCAAATTCTCAGCCCTGGGCCATCTACGAGGCTCATTCTGCTGACTTCCCAGGGGTGTCTGGGATGCAAACACCTGGCTGTTTCCTCCAGGTGCCAAGTCTAACCCGACAGGCACTCACCACTTCTGTCACCCCATGCTTTCATAACATGGGATTGCATACCATTTAGTGTCTGTGTCTGCATTACCTGAAGGTGTTGCTTGAAAATACTGACTTGCAAGCTCTACCTTGGACCTCCTGAATGAGTATCTTTTGCCAATAGCTGAGAAGGCTAATGCAGGGGGTAGGCTGCTACTGTTCAGGACCGTGTAGGCAAGCGGTCCTCAGGCTGACCTTGTGTGGCTAAAATCAGATCATGGTAGACGCAGCCCAGGAGATCCCATTGGACTCTGCCCCTGACCAACTTCCACACCTCCATTCCACACTCAACCTACAGATCATAAAACTGCACCCTGAGAAAAGCAACCAAGTTGCACGGAAATCTGGACACAGATGTCTGTGTCCTGGGGCTAAAGGAAAGGGAATCTTCTTCGATAACAGTGGGGAGAATGAGTGGAGAAAGGGATGGAAAAATAGATTCAAGAAAAAATGGAAATAGAGCTTTTGTAAATGGAAAGGAGCCCAAGGTTTGGAAGGAGCAGGGAGAAAGGGGAGGGGCATGAATGAAGTGAGAATTAAACTGTGTTGTGGGCGCTCTTGCACTCAAAGGCAGCACAGACCACGTGATGCACGAAGTACATAGTATTTAGCTCTGACCCTTGGTTGAGAAAGTTTCTTCTTTCCTTAGGCAGTGAGTCTTGAGATGTCACAGTGTAGACTCAAGAATCTCATTACTTAGATTCATATCTATGAAGTGGCATCTACCACTTCATAGGTAAGAGATCTTGGGCACAGTAACTATATTATTTAGGCATCTTGAGGCTCAGTCTCCCCATCTGTAAAATGGGGAAGATAATTATACTTACCTCATAGAATGACCATGCAGATCAAGTAAGACAGTACAATTGGAAGCTTAGAATTGTGCCTTTCAATAAATAAAAACTGTCGTATCACCCTAAAGAAATCTCTTTTCTATCTATATGTTTGTTCTCCCTAAATACGCTAAAACAAGCCCTCACTCAAAGTTAACTACATCCAGTAACATTTCTGTGCCCACTCATTAACTTGAGATTCGCTTCAGTAATTTCGACTTCATTAAAATTATAATGATTTCTTTAATTCCATTTCCTTTATCTGCTTCAACTTAATCCCCCTGTTGTCTGCCACAGCTCCAGGAATCGGGGAGAATCTTCTGTGAGACGGTCTTAGAAGAAAAGGAAAGGTAAAGAGCTAGATAGAGTCAGAAAAAAAAAAGAACAGTGAGGGAATTATTAAATGCACATGGCAAGCCAAATTTTTAAGAGATGAAAATAAATACACGTGGGAAACGAGGGCTCAGCGAAAGGATGTGGGAGTCACAGAGAACCCAGAGAGCCAGGTGCATCCCGGCCGTTAGCACCAAACCATTCATAGGTCCCTAACCCATTAATTAGTTGTTGGCTGAATTCAATCCTCAACTCTTAAGAAAATACCCTGACCAGCTGTGTCCTTGGAATCCCGGCTAACCCAGATCCAAGAAGTTTAGCTCAGCACACACGGATGTTAGCAGGGCCACCCAGAACTGGGGCTGTGTGGTATTCTGGGAAATCAGGCATCAAACGACACAAATCTTTTTCTGGCTCTTTTTCAGCGGCTAGTGACTTTTTTTCCTCAAAACTCTAAGAAATGATCTTATGGTGAAAATTGTGATTTTCATACCATCAATTGTGTGGGAGGTATAACCTTCCTGTGAAGAAATAATTCAATTACTAGAACAGCACTGTATTCTCCTACCCGTTAAATCAATATGTGTTTATCAAGAATTTAGCAAACAGAGATATATAGACCAACCAGGTAAATGTGAACTGAAGATACACAACAAACATGTAAAAAATATGAAGCTGTCCCACGCAGTGTCTGGGACGTGTGATGGGGCAGGCAATACAGCCATGTGAAATGTTTCACTGGCTACCACGGTTCCTAGTTAGAAGCCCACTGGATTACAGCAGTGGAAAGGACACTCATCATCTCTATTTCCCATGGATGTTAGGAACCCTAACATCAAATGTGCACGACATTCAATTCTCTTGTGGCACTTCCCCAGGGAGGGAGCCCAGGGAACAGTGAGCTTCTCTTTAGAAGTCCTTTGCCACTGGGGGCCCATTTAGCAGGTGGCAGTGTGAATTATAGTTGGACCTTTATATCCCCTTCATCCTCCTCTGGAGACAGGGTCCCTGGCAACACAGCTGGATTTTTGTATCTCTGCATCCCGGGGTCCGGGAGAGGGCTGGGACCTGTCACAAGGTCAGTATAGGTTAGCTTCAGGAATAAGTGGCCTAGGTGTACACAGCTGAATTCTCTCAAACAATGCCGAACCTTCCAGAATGGTGAGGATGTAGAGAAGACTGCATTTCCCAGAATCCAAAGACCTTACAGGTGAAGAATGATCTTTTATTTGTAAATATTTCATGAAGATAGTTCAAATAAAATTAAGACTTTAGAAAGGAGGGGAAAAGGAACTTAAAACTGTAACCTCGTAAACAGCACTACTGGGTCGCTTGATAGAATAGTTCCGTATGGAAAATGTGAGCACACAGAGCAGAGACTCCGTCATAAGGAAGGGTAAACGCGTCATTAGCAAAAAATGGATGTGCCTTGAGCCCGCAATGCTAAGGGAAATAAGTCAGACACAGACGGAAAAATATTTCATGGCTTCTGTTCTATGAGAAACCCAAACTATGAATAAATTAAGGTGCAAAATAATATATGACAGGAAACAGGGAGGAGGCCTTTGAGAAGAGGAAGGGGATCCCGGAGGAGGGGAGATGGGAAGGAGGGAAAAGGCAGGGAAGGCAGAAATGGTCACCTCGCAGTATGCATGTGGGCCAGCTCCCCAAGGTGATTGCATGCTGCCAACGCGTACTCGTAAACAAGGAAACGAAAATCTCTGAACATATGGGTAAGCGTGGGTCAAAGGACCGATTTAACTAATGGGTAACAATCAATTATGGTTTCCAATAGAGAACCAGAGACACAATATTAATAACTGAGCAACAGGCATAGACCAATAACAAATAATTAAGAGCCATTTTATTGTCAATACTGTCATACAACGGAAACACTCAGAAGGAAATCACACAAACCCACAAAAGGACAGATTCAGAGAATCGCAAAAGACAGAGTATCTACAATAGAAAATCACTTTGTGGTATTGACTCCTTTCTGTACAGCTGTCAGGGAGAAAAAAGGATGTTGGCATCTCTAGAGTATGTCTCAATGAGGCTAGGACTTTTATTTAAAAAAAGAAAAAAAAGGAAAGGAAAAATATGTATCATATTGCAGAGTTTCCCAATGACCGTGCAATTAGCCGGTGTTTTCCAAGTTTCTCCCCTCGGCCGTGGCTTCCTTGACTGTCGTCCTGTGACCTCCCTTGTGGACGTGTGGCTGACCATCACAAGAGCGCTGAGGATTCTTGGCAGCTCCTGTCAGTGCTCAGATCGGTAGGCGGGAAAAGTCTCTGTTCGATGAAGCTTCAGAGGGCTGGTAACATCTTTCCCAAAGAGAACAGAAAAGCAACAGTTATGTCTCATCAAAGCCTATGATCAAGTTAGGGACAAGCATCTACTTAACAGAAACAAGTTAAGACCCTGCATGGGATATTTCTCCTAGTGTCACTCATGGGGATATACAAATATGAGTCTGGAGAGATCCCACAATTAACATATCATCTGCATAGGACATTTGCACTCTGAACTCTGCATGACCATGAGCAGACACACTGCTCTTTAATTTTTCAAAGTCAGGGTATTTAGAGACAAGATGCAGAAGCACAGGACCATGGGAATTTGACAGGGACGCTTTTTGCAGGTTTCACCAGAAAGAGGACAATCTTACACTTCAGGGCATCTTCTAAATGTAAAAAAGAGCATCTTGAAATCTATTTAGTCTTTTTTCTTTTCTTTTCTTTTCTTTTTTTAATTTCAGGTTTGGGTTCCAAAGCGAAGCCAAACACCGCGACACAAAATCAGCCACATTTCTTACATAATGAGTGAGCACCAAGCCAATAAAACTTTATTAAGGGAAACAGACCGCAGCCAGGACTCCCCCACCCCAGGCTGAGCCTTCACATCCCTGTAGGCACAGAGCCTGGATTTTACCAAACCAAAATGTCTTCCTGCCACCTGCTGGCTAAGGGTTGCCACAACCGGAAACATTCACACTGCAGTACCAGGGGAAGGGCTCCCAGGACTGAGCAGAACAGAACTGGCAGGCGAACCTCGGTGTGCAGGGCAGGCATCCAGGGAGCACAAGACACAGTGAGACCAGGCTGTGGCCCGAGCAGCTGACACAGCATCCTGCACTCAAAGCAATTCTATTTTCAATCATCAAACAAGCAGAACCATGGATGGTGCCTTGCGGCTCTCAAGCTCAAGTTTCTGTTTTTCTGTTATCACCATCATCCCTGACCAAGATCAGCATTCATTTCTAGGCCCCTCTGGTCTTCGTTCCAGAAGCACGGATGGAGGCAAAGAAGCCTCACCTTTCCCCTACGGAATGAGAAACAGCACATACACTGCCCTCCACACAGTATTACTGAGCACTAAAAAACTCCAAAGCCTTAAATAAGTGAGTCCAACTACAACACCAAACAAACACAAATACGGTTTCCAGGACCTTGCAAGCCTCGTGGTAGAACCAAAAGCCAATGACACATCCATCCGATCTGTCGGTGACGAACTGCCCAATGACAGCGGTGATCATCAAAGTGGCCCGCATGACTGGGACTCACTCCCAGCTCCAGCCAGCACGAGTAGGGTCTCTATTCCCCCTCCATCGCACAGACCCTCTGGCACAGGGAAGCTGCACTAAGGCGGGGAGCCCTGGGAGGGAACATCGCACCATCTTTATTACAGTTTGATGTAACGGTCCCTGCAGGGAGCACACAGCGTGCAGAGTCAGTACAAAGCCCTCTGGTCAGGTGAAAAGCCCTTCCCGTGCTGTCAGCCAGAGGTCCTCGCTCTGTGAGTTTTCACAGAGAAGACTAACAGTGTACACTTGGGGTCCGATCGAAGTGAAAACACAGCTTCCAGCAGGATGGCTAACGGCCAGTCTCAGGCTCAGTTTGAAAACTATATCCAGCTTAAGGACTGGAAATGGACTGAAGGACTTTCCGTGCCCCCTCACAAGCAAGCACGAGGCTGGAGCCCACACCTGGGTCCAGACATCCTGGCCTGCAGAAGCCCAGGCTTCAAGGGGGGGTGGAACTGACCGTCCGTGTTCACGTGACTGCAGGCTGCCCCCAGAGGTGCCAGTTTCCTGCTCCCCTGGAAAGGGAGGAGAAAAGTGGGCGCAGTCACCTGCTGCAGCATGCGGTAAGCACGGTGCCCTCTCCGACAAGGCCTGCGTGCTCCTTGACCCTCCCTGGGGCCTGCCGTCCCCCACCACCCACCTCCACTCATTTCCTGTCCCGCCTGGAATCCCCGTGTGAGTTCGCCACCCTGGCTCATCCATCCTCTCCTTGAATGCATCAGGTCTGCCTCTAACCCTTCTCCGTGCTGCTGTTCACACACTGTATGCGAGTGTGAGATTCACACCCGTGCACAAGAGTAACTTCTCACAAGCAGCTGCTTGCATAAAGCAGCTGCCCAATGCCCACTGACTGGGTAATGTGAGGGAGCAGAACCGATGAACACAAAGACAAAACTCTGAACCCTAACTGTGCACTACCTCGGTGGGTGTGGGTGGGTTACTTATACTTCAAGCTCCCAGTGTTTAGTAGCAACTGAGAGGAAAATGAGACCCCACAGAACCGATCTGGACTGTAACAGGACCGTGTATATCAGGTGCCTACACAAAGCCCAGTGCACAGCGGGTTCTCGGAAAGAACAGCTTCTAGAAATATCCTCACTGGGCATGGCTTTCCCCGTGGAAGGGGCAGATGTGGGGCTGCAGCCTTTCACGGGTGGCTGTCCCTGTCACGGGTGGAATGGCTGTCACGGGTGGAATGTCCCTACTTGTTTATTTCCTAAAGGAAAAAGAGAATTAACGCTCAAATAGGTTTACAGGGTTTTAGAATAAGTAAATTACTGGCTGCATGATATACCCAAGCGTTGAAAATATCATCAAAAGAGGTATTGAGAGGCAGCGTCTCCCGTAAGTTTGCTTGAACACAACACCTTTTATGGGGTCGGGGTGCTACCCGCCAGGTTAGCGGTCCCCGAAGCACCTTTGGAAACGCTGCTCTTATCCTTTATTTCTAACAGAATCCTGTGGATTCGATGTTCAGTAAACATTTGTTGAGTGTTTGTTTCTCTTTCACAAATTTCTTCTGATTTTCATTCAAAAGCCACTTCCTATATGGATTTCATAGCTGCCTTCCATACGGAGAATTTCTAAGTAAAAATCAGAAAGTGAAGTGGGACAAGCATTGTAGATTAAACACTGTACATCTTTGTGTAGGTGATGTTTGTCAAAACGGCCGCCTCCCTCCACTCATGAAAAACGGTAAAACAATGGTAATTCCAAACTCTACCAGTGGGTGGCGCTCTAGGACTAAATGTGGGGAGGAAAAAACAATCTTTTTTTTTTCTCAAACCGGTTTGGTAAGTTCCCCTAGAAGGGTCTGTATGATTTCTAAGATTAAGCTCCAGATCTGCCAGGAAACATCAGCTTGTACTCTATCAAAGCAGGTGACCTGACTGGAGGAATTAAAGCCATAAACCTCAGCAAAACAGAAATTATATCTCAGGGCAGCACAGCAGTACCAGGTCATTCATTTGCTCAATTTCAATTTTTTTTTAAAGGTGGTGAGTGGGCAAAGGAGGAAAGAGGCAGAAGGCTCCGTACACACATCTCCTTCCTTATCATCAATAACCTCTTCCGCTAAGATAATTTTAGATAGACTGTGCAGATTTAAAAGTTCAATAATTAGAATTTTTCTTACTTTCCATTAGAAAAAGAAAACCAGTGTCTGTAACAGCACTGAGGTAATGAAATATGTTTTAAGAATATGTAAATGTATTTAAACAGAAGAGAGGGAATAAGAATGAGTAACAGTCTTAGTAGCAGGTATGTGACAAACATTGGGATGCTATGACACAAGCACCGCCAGTGTTTCTGAAGCACCTGTGACAGCCTGGTCTAGCCCCGCTCCCGGAGGAGCGCTGTGCGAAGGGAGGCTTTTTGTCAGTTACTAGCAGGGCAGCCCAGCACTCAGCTACTCACGTTGGATCCTGCTTTGCAGCAGGGGCTCTACACAGCCCCCTGCTAGTGAGCCCAGCACAGAGGTGGGGAGACGAGACCAGACACTCAGGGCTGCTTCACAAGCACCTTCCTTCACCAAGCGCTAGGGAAGGCGACTCCCTGCCAGGCAGCAGGATAGGATGCCAAGGGACAGATCCTGGCACCCTCTGCCGCCTGCGTGGACTTTGCTGCACCCTGGAGCAGCTGGCCGTGGGCTATGGAGCCACACCATGAAATGGGAAATGCAGACTCTCCTAGGGGATACCAAGGAGGGGTCACAACCTGCACATAATTGGAGATAAAAAAGACCCAAGAAGGGAGGCGTCCTGCCATCTGTGGCACCACAGGTGTGACCAGATATGAGCAAGTGTGGGGAACCACCCGGAAGACTCCTTGAAAGAAGATCAACTGTCTCCACTTTGGATAAACTCGGCCCTCTCTCCACATATCGATATATGCAGAGCTGGCCAGGCCATTTCTTTGTCGCTTCGATTGGCTTTAAGCCATGGAAACTGGGCTGGCTGGGGAGCTGATGTGTAACCTTTCAAGCAAGAGGACTGTCACTGCTTCCCCACCCAGTGACTCCCAAAACACTCAGCAGAGCCAGGTGGGATAAAGAGCCACCTCTCCACGGTGCTGGCTGGGACTGAGCTCCAGATAAGAGGCCATGACTTCCCAGGGCAAAAACGTGGACATCAGCACTGCAGCACTGACACCAAACATTAGCTATTACCTCCGTGGTGCTATGAGGACCACTCTTCCTGCATTTCTTGCCCTCTGCATGTTGCAGAGGTGATCTCCAGCCTTCTAGCTACTCCAGGACACTCACATATTTCTTGCCATTCTCACTGTCACTCACCCCTGAGCCACTGCCCTCCTGGAGAACTAATAAAGCCTGAGTTGGTCCTGGGTTGTGGCCTTCGTTCTGGTGAACTTTCATCCTGGCTGGATTTAGGATCCCTTAACTCCTCATAACGATATATGTCTGTGTGTGTGTGTGTGTGTGTGTGTGTGTGTGTGTGTCTTTATTCTCTCCTTGTATTGCACTGGAAGTGGTACACTGTAATTAACTCACTGGAATTCTGGTAACTTTTCTATGGGATCACAATTATAAAACTTCCTGGACTGAGCTGAGGATCGGAAATCCTCTCTACAAACAAGAGTGGACCAGGTCAGGGGAAGGGCACAGCATCCATCCGGGGAGAGATGACCATTGGGGAAAGCTGAATAGAAGCCAAGGTGATGTGAATGTATATAAATGACCAAGACCTTGTGTTCTGTGGCCGTTGGTTCACTCCTGTGTCACCGATCCAGTGAGGTTTTGTGTGTGACCTGGGTGTGAGCTCCTGTTCTCTCTTTCAGGTTTGGGAATATTGCACCTCATTGGTGCAAAAATCCTTTGGCGGGTTCTCCCACATAGGTTTGTTTGTTGGTTTGCTTATAGATTTCATAGTCGTAAGCTCTGCTTCTACTGTGAGGTGTTAAATGACATATTTTGTGATATCAGAAAGGGCCTGAACCAAGTTTAACTATTCTTGTTCTTTCCCGAATGAGCAGGTCTGTACCCCACTGCAGAGTTCCCTTTTCTGGAAGTGGGTTCGTTGCTGTTTACTTGAGTCACACAGCAGAGCCAGAAGCCAGGACTCCCTGCCTTCTCCCGGGGCCCTGTACCCTGGAAGAGTGGGTCCGAAGGGATCCAAGCAGAGGCACCCGGAGGACTCATTCCAGCAGCTGGCTGGTCCCACCCTCAGAGCTCCCTTCCCCAGGAAAGGGAGAAATGCCATGTGCATCTGTAGCAAGCTCCCTAGGACACTGAGGGTGCTACTCATCAGTCTGCCCTACCACACAGTCTCTCCAAGCCGGGACCCAGATCTGCACCCAGACTCAAGCTTTTCACAAAGACAATTGCTCAGCCGTATCCTCCAGCTTGAGCTCTAAAATTTTGAGGACTACGAACACAAGAATCTACATTTTAAACAATTTCTCCCAGGACATTGTGATAGTTGCAACTATTTGAGGACCAGGGCTCTTGAGGAGGAAGTGCCCCATGTCCTGAGGCCTTGAGGAGTGCCCTCACAGGGTGGGGGGCTCGCTCACCATTGTGGCACGCAATGGGGGTGACTGTGCAGGGCCCCACCCAGCCACGCCTGCAGCCCCGCTCACCTTGCAGACGGTAGAGCTGGCCCGTGCTGTGCTGGCGGGTGATGTGCTGCCAGTAGGCGCTGCGAGGCAGGGGCACCACGGTGCCCAGCGAGGCCGCCCGCTCGCTCATCTTCATCTGGAGCTGTGGTCAAAGGAGAGAGAGTGGTTTGTCAGCAGTGCTGGGGTCCAGAGCGCCCTGCCTGGTGAGGGAAGCAGAACTTTAGGAGCTTCCGAGCTGTGGAAGGAGCTCCGTCACATGCCCCAGGTAGGGGGACAGCCAGTCTCCACTTACTCCACATCATGCATTCCTCACCCTGCTGGCAACAGTGCATTGCTGCTGCCCTGGGGACTCCCCCCAGCTCTGCCCAATCCCTGCAGTCCCACCGGGGCTGAGCTCTAGGGTCCGCCATGACCATGCCAGACCAGTAAGACACAACCCACAAGCCATCTCTTAGAAACTTGAGGGTGAACCCATGGGGGTGCGCCGAGGATTGTGGCTGTTTTATTCCTGGCTCTGCCCCCGGGTCTAGACTACTGATTACACATATAGGCGTGCAGTAAATACTTGTTGAACTGAAGGAGGTGTCCTGTGGGGGCGCGGAGAGGCAGCAGACAGGAAGGAGAGTGTGACAGTGAATAGAACCCTCTGAATGAAGCCAGCAGAGAAGTCCCTCCTGCACGCAGAGGCGGGTGAGCCAGCTACTGCTCTTCTGTTTAAACTGGTTGGAGGTGGGTACTCTGGCACTTTCATCACACAAAAGCTCTGTCTGCTAGGCCAACTGCCTTCCTCAGCTGGTCACTGTTCCAGGTACTGAGGGGGAAGGGGGAAGTCACAGTCAAGTTGTCCAGCTGGACAGCAAGCAGCCGGTGGCCTGCCCTGGCAGTCAGGGAGAAGGCAGCTCCCAAGAGATGGCGGCCCAGCAATATGGGCAGTGTCAGCACAGCAGAAGCAAAATGGGGACATATATGAGAAGTGGAAAGGGGTGCACTGGAAGGCAGCCCCAGATACACCCTTGACTGAGCCCCGGCCTTAGACACAATCATGACACAGTTTCATTACACCATTGCATAGCTATTTGAGAAGTCTAAGCAATCCACGTCAGTCTTTTTTGAAAGTGCATTTATGAATACACAGACTTGTCTAGGTTATTCACTGGGGTTCCGCTCTCAATCCATGAAAACTGCAGGTCATTTAAGGATCCCTCAGTCAAGGCCCAGCTGATTGCTTGCAGACAGGGCCATTGGCCAGCAATTGTTTTACCTGACACTGGAAGACTTAGATAAACGGAACGGGAAACACTGTCCAGGAAGCAATCGCAGTAGTCACAGACCGCTGTACCTGGAAGACTGCGACTCTCGTGCTCAGATGAAAGACAGTGGCATCAACCTGAGCCAGCTGGATCACAGGAGAGGTGGCGAGAACACACCTGCTTGGCCGTGCTTAGCCCAGAATGATCCAGGGAAAGGACACGGAGATGAGAGCCATAATGACTGCAAGCTGCAATGCCTCGGAAACATTTTTTTTAAAACGTCCCTCTCTCTACACAAGTCTTCAGCATGGTAGTTTCAGATACAGTATCTGTACACTCACTCAAAAAAGACAAAATTATATGGGACTTCAGACTCGGGAGACCAAAACTCATTGCAGTGGATGAGACTCCACTTTAAACAAAGATAACAACCATTCACTCAAAAGATAAATCAATTTACATGTCTTGCATTTACATTTGCTGGATTAATTTCCTGGTCCTGACCACCGCAGCACAATTACCAGAATGCATTCCCAAGGCGGATAACAAAGTGCGAGGTTCATTGGTGGAGTTTTCCCTAAAACTGTGCTCTTCAATCAAAAGTACTTAGAAAGCTGAGGACTTCAGGGGTGCAGGAGCTCGGTGGCCTTTCCATATACTGGAAAAAATATCTCAAAAAACTTTTCGCTAGTGACTTGGTGACATTCAACCTAATTTATATGCATGCAAGAAATAAAGGGAGAAAAAAACTGAATTTAGAAGAACCAGTTATTTGATTTTCTTAATATAAAAAGATTACATTTAATATAATAGAATTTTAATACTTGAGGAGTAGCTGTCACTTAGAGTTACTCACTACTCTCCTGCAAATACACTGGGGCAGCCCAGCTTGATTTGACGGTATTTTTAGAAAGCTTACTTAGAGGCAAAAATGAAATGATACTAATGCTGTGCTTTACGGAGGATAATACAAAGCCTCGGTCTGTACCCGTTCCTCCTTGGTCCTTTGAAAGGACACCTAATTTGATGAAAGGAACATTTTAATTGTACTTAAAGAAAAATGATGAGAAAAGCCTTCCCCTTTAATAATGCAAAATGTCGGGATAATGCAGCCAGGGTGCAGAGACTTAGAACGTCCTTTGGCGACTGCCTGGGCAGGCAGTTGGACTTCACTCATTCCTCTGGGTGGCCGCAAGCACTCAGAGGAGTGAAGGGAGGGTGAATGGGGCCCTGTCCTTCCTTGGGAAGGATAAATTAGTGCTCCCTGGTGAAGGAGTTAAAATGGGGTGATCCAAAATATCTGGAGAGAAAGCTCACAGTCCTCAGTAAAAAAAAAAAAAAAAAAAAAAAAAAGCAATTCGCCCCCCCTCTTGGTAACCCAGTCAGTGTCTCCTGTGAGCCTGCTAGTGCACAGCTGGGAATCGAACACACACACACACACACACACACACACACACACACACCCGTTAGTAGCTGGGGACAGAGGTCTGAGCATCTCTTGGGAGGATGACCGTATGCAATAGAGCAAATATGGGGATTTCCTTCCGTCTTCTGTCTGAAAGCAAATGTTTTTTTCACTGTTTTTTTTACTATGATTAATTGCCTTATTCTAGTCAACATTCTGTTTCAATTGGTTTTTCAGTGTTCTGGTTTTGACTTGATTTCACTATACCTAATTTACTGGAAGATAACAAGATATATACTGTGGTACCTATTACTGTTATCCAGTATCCTGCTATGAAGTTCTGTACCAATTTCACTGCACTGTCTCGATTGGCTTTGTTCTGTCTTGTTCTGTTGTATTTTTACTAACTTCAAAATTTAAAAAAAAAAAAAAAAACCTTCATAGATTTCTCGTGTTTTCATTAATTCTTTTTTCAGTAAACATAATACATTCACATTTCAAAAAGCAAAACTGACCCCCAAATAATGGAATTAGAAAATATAGGAATTTCTGCCCCAGTGGGGTCCTGAGGGTCCTGAAAAGCCTCCTGACCACAGCACTGTTGAGAAGTCAGCTCTGGAAGACCATGCAAACGACAAACACTATTTACCACTAGGGGCACTGTCACTTCTGGGGAAGGTGACTGGACTATGCTCATCTGCGGACCATGGACTGATGAGGTCAACAGCAGAAGGCGGTGTTAGGCGGTGGGGATAGTGCAAAATGGGGTCACTGTAGGCCTAACCTGGTGGGGGACATCTCCTCCCACTCCTCCCTTCTCTCTCTGCTTCCTGATTTCTGTGAAACGAACAGCTTTCCTTCGTCCAGGCCCTTCCACGGTGCCCGCTGTGCCTTGCAGCCTCCCAACCATGGACTGAACCATCTAAAATCATGAGCTGAAACAGATCTTGCCCCCTTTAAACTGTGGCTCTCTGAGATTGTGTCCCCATGATGGGAAAGTAGCTCACACAGCTGGCTTAAGAAAGCCCAGGGCACAGAGGTGGAGAGCTCTTTTTAGAAAGGTGGGCACTAGCAGATGTGCCACCCAGTGAGCGAAACAGGGACATCTCCCTTCACAGAGAAAGCCTCAGGGTCTGTTCGCCTCTGCTCTTAAGCTGGAGTGGGAAAAGCCCACCGTGCAGGCATTTAACTGAAGGCACCTTCCTTTCCAGTTTCAGGTTACCGTTCTGCTCCCACTTACCTGGATTTTCTTCACCCGGATAAAATCCCTGGCACCCCAACACAACCTCAGCATGAGAATGAATTACTGAATTATCAATTACCAAATGCATCTGACTCCTATGGGAATACAGCAATGAGGTTACAGTGGAACAAACTGTGTGTCATACCGGACCCACACCTCTTCCCCTAACAAATACAGGCGATAAATTCTAAAAATCAACAACCACAGCAGAATCCTAAAGCGAGTGCTTTGTTTCCCACACCAGTAAACTGAACAGAATCATGAAACATGAAGTTCAGAAGAACTTGGTGAGCATCCCACTCAGTCTCCTGAACAAAGCAAGCATCCTGGGCAAACAGTCCAACTTCCCAGACAGAGTGCTCTGATCTTGCAGCCTACACCCCTACGCAACTCGGCCCTCACCCCTACATCACTCAGTCAGGCCACTGCACTTCTGCCCCCAGCCCAAGAGCTTTCTCCACATCAAACCTTTACTAATGCCTAAGAGACTCCCCGCAGGGGTCCATTCAGAAACTGTCCCCCACATACCTACAGCTGTTCTTGCTGAAGAGGAACAGGGACTCCTACCAGTACCTCCTAGTTCTGTATTATTCTGATCATTCCATCATTTTTGCAATAGCAGCTAAAGTAGCCTGCCTCCTACTGCAGACCAGTATCGTCTACAGAGAAGGAAATACAGCTTTCATTTCTGGGTCTCTGACACCTAACTTGGGTCTCTAGAGGCTACATAAATGTGTGATGAGTAAATGAATGAAACCAGGCTTTGTCCAATCAAAAGGCAAGAATAGTTTTTGAAATAAATTCTCAGGAATCCAGCAAATGAGAAGCACTCTTAACTTTATTGGATTCACACTGCAACTTCAGGTCCAGGCCAAATGAACCTGCTGGGGCTGCTTGAGGGGATGGGGTAGCAAGACTGAGCTCGGCCATTCTAGTGATGAACAGAAGCACTGGGAGAAAGACCTTCTTATGTGTAGTTCTTTAGGAAAATCTGATAGCAAAGACCTTCTTATGTACCGTATTTTAGGACAATCTGATAGCAGGGGGCTTTGGCTCTTCACATGGCATTCTGTGGGCAACATGAGCTTTACCCCACCATGGAGGTGAGGTAAAGCTTCACGGAAGTCAGACAAGTGCCTTCTTTTTCTTCAGCACTTGAACCTTCTGCTATACAGCAGGATCTCTATGGTCTCTTCCTAACCCAGTCTGAGGGAGTCCTTGTGCTGTCAATCCATCAGCCCCTG